CATCCCTGGAAACATTCCAGGTCAGGTTGGAGGGGGCTCTGAGCAACCTGATCTAGTTGAAGATGTCCCTGCCCATGGCAGGGGGGTTCACCTAGATGGCCTTTAGAGGGCCCTTGAAACCCAAACTATTCTATGATTCTATGAAAGTTTGGCTTAGGCCTTTTACTTCTGAAAGCTGAATTAATAAAACTGTAGTCATTACAAATATCTTTGAATACTGAAAGTAACAAAGCCACATTTCTTGTGAAATCATGTTTCATGGGTTTGATAGCTGTTGTATTCAGAAAGCGGTAGCTTCAATTTTATGTTTTTCTTATAGTTGAGCTTATCTCCAAGCTTTTTGGTGTGTAAAGTATAAGCAGTATTACAGGCTTTCTTTCCTAGAGTCCCTAGCACGAGCACAACTGGTTTAGGTCACATTAAAGGTCCATGTAGCCAGTACCCTGGCTTTGATAGTTGCCCAAGAGTGAATCTTTAGGGAAGAGTGTAGGAAGAAAGCAAACATACAGGGGTACCTTCTGTACTGTGGTCATGAAAACAGTCTTCAGCTCAGAGATGTTGGAGCTGAAGGCAATAGCTTTTGCTCTGTGGTCCTCGTTTGGTGTTACTTCCATGAATTTGTCTAAGGATTTCTTGAATATATGCTATGCTTGGCACAGAATATGGTGGATTCCTCCAGAGTGCTAAAATGAACTGCTCTCTGAAATGTCAATTCTATTTCTTTTGAACCTGATCCTTTCAGTTATTGTTCCCTGATTCTTGTAAGATATAAGAAATGTAAGAATTCCCGTTTTTCCCAGGAATTTACAGATAGCTATCATTCTTCCTTTCCCTCCTCTGTTGCTTTTCTAGCTGAGTCCTAGTTATTCCATAACTTGGATTGTCCTTGTTGGTCCTTTCTGTATCTTCTCTTAGCACTGTTATGCCCTTTTCTGAAATGAGGGGGGACAAATGTGAAGATGGTTCCATTTCTTATTCCCTTTTATGAAGGCTGATTGCTTTACGGTTACTGAGCATTGAGCTTGATGTTTTCAAGGGATTCTGTGTATTTTTTCCTTGAGATGTTTTTCTTGATGATTGTTATTTCATAAGCATGATTTTGTATGCAGTTTTTTCTTCTTATGCATCACTTCACATTTTTCAGCATAGACTTCAATCTTTAATTTCATTCTTTCAGGGGTAAGTGTTACAAGGTTCTTATGCGACTCTTCATACCTGGCTTTTGCTTTACTACCCAGAATAGCTTAGTATCAGCAGACATTCTCACCTGACTTTCTGCACTCTTCTGAGATTCACTTATAATCACCTCAGACTACACAAGCCCTAGCAACACTCAAAATGGGGTGTCACTTCTGACCTCTCATGCTTGGGCTTATTTCTGCCTTCTGAGTCTTGCCTCTTCTTCATCACCTACTTAATCATCTAAGGATGATCACACTTATCCTAATGAAGCTTGCTTTCTTTAAGAGCTTTGCTCCGGCCTATTACCTGGATCATCCTTTGTTTCAAAGTTGGCAGTTTTAAAGACCGGTAGATATGCGAGGGACCTGATTTCCTCTGTAAAGACTTCTGTCATTGTGGGTTATTTTGGCCTCCTTTAATCTTACTTTGGCACACAATTAAAAATAAGTATTTTAAAGTGTGTGTTAAAATGCAGTTTGAGGACAGTTTGGGACTAGAACTCAAGTTTGTTGGAAGCTCTCTGGACCACATCAGTCCTCGCAGGACTTACACAGAAATTTTTAACTTCTTTCAACTGGCAAACAACAAGTGAGGGATTATTTATTTAAAGTAGTGCTGATTGAGAGGAAAAAGCTCTCAACTTAAGAAGCCACGCTCATTCAAAACAACATTATACTATTTCAGCTAGTCTACGAAGCGTTACCTATCTAAATTTTTGTTGACAGCATTTAAAATAGCCTATTCCATAATTTACTTCATTCAGCAGTCTCAAGTAGACAACAAGCTTATTTTACAAGTGTCTTGGCATTTTAGAAACACTTATTTTTCACCTTTCTTCTCTCCAAGATAGATAATTCTGCATTGTTGACCCACTGTTGTTCTTAAGCATCGGTCTGATTAAGACAATTTCACTGAAAGAAAAAGATTTTTTATAATATCGAAATACAAGTTGAGGTCCAGTGAAAAAGCAGTTGAGAGGGGGACTGTATGTCACTGTTGCTACTTCTACCTCCTTTCCTGTTCCAGGTTTCATTCTTTATGTAGTAATTCATTATAATAGTGCATTAAAAAGCTCTATGGAGATCTGCATACGTGAAACTGAGTGTGTCAATATCTTTAAATTAATGTAGATGAGGTTTTGGAAGAACATTTGGAGCACTTGCAGATTACTTGTTTTTTAAAGATTTTGCATGGTGCTTGGCTTTTTCCAAATGTTCAAAGCTTGTTTTTTCCCACCTCCCCTTCCTGTAAACTTCCTCAGCTAATCTTTGCAGGTAAATTATCTTCTCTTCACATCCCTCCTCCCCAAATTATCATACATATTTCCATCTGTTAAGGTTTTTTCCTTTATTTTGCTCTAGATATGAGACTGTTTTGCTTTGTTATCAGACGTGTTTCTAATTCATTTGGGCTTATCAAGTCTTCAACAGTGTAATAAATGATTCTAAAATCTTACCACATTGGAGTAATACACTGCTAGTTACATTTTTTTTTTTTTTCCCTAGCTGACATACTAGCTGGCTACTGTTCAGTAATTTCAAGCCAAGTATTAATGGCTTGAATTGGTTATCCTTAACGGACACACTTGGAAAAATGAAAAAAAGCTACAGTAATGTACTGTTGTTCATGCCTGCCCTAATAACTGCTTTAAGTCTGCCATATCCACCCATATTGCAGAAATACGTGTTCTCTCTGTTTTTATGAACTAGGATGGGATTAAAATCTTTTGAATATTCTTTCTCAAAATTCACGTTTGAGGTATGAACTTCAGTTAAGGTTGTTAAGTGGAAACTGATTGAAATGGTTGAGAATGAAAACAATAATTTATTGTTGTTTTCTTAATTAAATTTTTCTTTAATCTGCATATTGATAAAGTAGGTATTACCTTAATCACTTGTTGGCTTAATATTTGTAATTCTTTTCCTTCTCCAACAAAATTGACATTGTCAGGGAGTTGTTAGTTGTGAGTTGTGTATTGAGATAAAAAGCCAACAGAGGACAAATTACGAAAGGGCATAATCCTCTACAAATTCCCTGGCTCCTTTTATTTCTGTCATGAAATAATATTGGGGGGTGGGCATGTGCAAATATTTAAGAAGAAAGAAAAAGAGAACCTAGCTCTTTACAGCATGTAGTCTAAGCTTTGATTCTATTTAAACTCCTTTAGTGAAGCCAGGTAAAGAAAAAATCTTTTGGGGTTTTAATCACTGAAAGTGATGTGGTTGCTTTTGTTTCATACAAAATCAATATTTGAGTACTAATTATGCTGTTGCAATTAAGGAGAAAATCCCTTCTCAGATCTTGATCTTTTAAACTGTGAAGAACCTTTGCTCTGTGTTCATGCTGTTGTTTGAGGCTGCAGCTCAAGACGTTCTAGTGGTTGTCCTTCATCTTGCTTTGAATACATTTTGAATATCAGATTTTGTGAATTTAAAAAATATAAAATTTTGACACATGAAACAGTTGTCGAGATATCTTGAACATGAAGGTACAAGTCTGTGTCATGTTTTCTGAATTTGAATCCATCTCATGCTAAGAATAATTATCAGTTGTAATATCTGCAAGCTGTCTAAAAAGAACAAAACTTGAGGGGTGGCTGACAAGCTATCAGGTGATAATTAAGTAGCTGTATAATAACCTGCGTTCAGAAGATCCACCTTCCCCTCTGCCACGCTGAGACCCCAGTGCTTTCCAGAGGATAATGCACAGCAAGTTTGAGAACTGTGCTTTGTAGGACTGATTTGTATCAGATACAACGGGTGCCTGAACTGTGCTCAAGTTCTGGCGGTCAGGTTTGGCAGTAATCTCTAGGGCACCTTACAGAAATCCTTTCTGCCCAGGATATTTGGAGAATTAAGCAAGTCTGGGGTTTTTGGGTTTTGGTTTTTTTTTTTTCAGTTAAGGACTGATAATGAATCTAATGAAGGAAAATACACTATTTTATACATAGTGGATGTAGTTCTTGTAAATAATGACATGGTACAAGAAGTTGCTTGTAAATTGGTAAGAGGCCCTGGCTCGTAAAACAGCAGCAAATGCACACAGGTCATGCCTTGTTTCATCATGACTTTATTTTATGCCTATGAAAGAAGTAAACCATGATACAAGAGTGAAATTTCTTTGAATTTTTTCTTTTATGGGCATGTATTTAAAATTGCATAATTTCACTTCTAAAAAAAACAAATGTTTAATTTTTCATATATGTCTTTTGAATATATAAGGAGTTTGTGAATGGAATGTTATACCTGGAGAACCTGAGTGATCATTTTGATATTCTCATCTGCGTAGATCACCTATTTCACAAAAGTCCCTTAAAAATTAGTTTCATGGACTAAAATATGCTCAGAAGACCTTGTATGGCCCAGCTACCCTCTCCTACATATGGCAGATTAAAAACACTAATGTAACACTTCCCTGCCCCTTTGGTTTACAAGCAGAGGATGTGGTGTCTTGCAGTCTTCCCATCATTCTCCCTAGCCTTCCTTAGCAAGGAACTGAAGAATTCACGGAATATTTTGGGGGAGAAACAAAGGGAGGGATGAAGTAAGAGAGGCAACAGACTTTTCACTAGACTGGGATAGTATTGATACACATCTCTTTCCTGTGATCACAACTCTTCAGGAACCATGCACACCATACGTGTTCAGATAGGATCACAGCAGTAGGTTTTTCTACCCTCAGACTGGCAAAGACAAACGGAATGTTTCCACAGATATGTAATCAAACAGGCTTGGACTTAACAAGGTGAACTTTAAACTCCTGAGAGTTTAAGCCAACATCAGATTCCCACACTGGACAAGGAAAGGAACAGTCTTCCCAAATACTTGGGAATAATCAAAGAGCTGGCGACTCTCTTTGCTGCTTTTGTTCGTGGTTGAATTAACATGTGCCTTGTGTGTTGTCTGCCTGTAGCACAGCAGGTCCTTGCTTCTTATTCAGGAGGCTATAAGAAACATTTGTTCCAAAACTGAATTTGCTTCCTAAATAATTAAGCAATATTCAAATGTTTGCTTTGAGAGACTGAAGATTACGTTGAGGTGCTTTCAGAAGTTTGCTTATATGTTATTTTTAAAATTCTGGTTTTATATCACCCTATACAAGTAAAGATTAATTATAATGCTTCTATGTCTGATGCAAGTGAATGTTTATTAATTCTTCCCAGACTTGAATTTATTATTAATTTAGAAATTTTGAGGTGATTGCAACTTCATTAGTGAAGTTCAAAGACTTGTTGGCACTAGTTTGATAAAAGCGTAATAAATCTTTTTGAATGATAACAGTATAATGTTTTTCTTTTTAGCTCCAGGGTTTAAGCCACAATGTTATTATCACTTTGGATTCTCTCTTAAAAGGAGACTTAAAAGGTGTTAAAGGGGTAAGTGTTGAAAACTAACTTTTTATTTAAGGAAATGTTTTCAGGTTCAGCTGTCTTGTGACTGTTTTCCATTCACCTGTGAAATTATTTCTTATGTTGGCATCCATTAATATTCTGTATGTAGTCCAAAGAAAAATTCAAAATTGGTGTGACTGTGATGCTGCTTTAGAATTTCATTGTAAATTCCTGTCTTAAGGTGCACAGGAAAGCAATACTTTACAAGATTCAAAAATAGTATTTTTTCCAGCTGCTGTCTGAAAAGTTTTAAAAGAAAACTATTTTTTGTTTCTATTTATAACTTGATATCTTAACTATAAAGGTAAATTTTTAGAAATGTTCTGACCAAATTTTCTGTTTCCTAAGGACCTCAAAAAGCCTTTTGACAAAGCCTGGAATTATTATGAAACCAAATTGTAAGTATTTTTCTCCCTCTTCTCTTTTTTTTTTTTCTTTCTTTCTTTTTCCATTTTGTTTTTTCCCCTCCCGGTCCCAAACTATGTAATGTATCTGTGGATGTAAATGTGAATATGAGCAAGGCATCTCTCTTCTGCACTAATAGAAATAAAATATTTTTATGTTCTCTGTGAAGTAGTTAAGACTGCCCAATGATTCTTTAGTGTAAGGAAGATAATTAATGCTTAGATACTGAACATCGTACAGTGAGTTGTGGGGATTTCAGATGGCATTTACACATTCTTATAACCATATACATAAAATCTATTGATACTAAAAATCATGAGATTTATATGTTGTCCTGTATTGCAGAACTCTGTTTTTGAGAAGCAAGAATTTTAGTGCACTTGGTGTGACCTTCTAAAATATCTGTGGTTCTAAAAATATTTTCTTGCTATAATACCTGTCTTCTGTGGGTAAAGAATGATTTATAAAAATAGAAGGTTGGAAGCAAGTAGTATCGTAGTTGCAGAAATGTTAGTGGAATGGTTCAGAATGCTCTCAAGGAAATGATGGGCAGTTGCTTTATCAGAATTCAAGAGGTCTCAGGAGTTAATTCATTTTTTTGTATCCTTTCATTTATTCCCCTTTTAATCCTATTATCATCTTTGTTTCATTTATGTCTAACCAGGAGGGGAAGAAAGCAATGAAAGAAAAAGTCAGGCCACTAGGAACTGCTGAAACATTTATTACTGGCATAGTTTTCTTACATACATATAGTAACTTCTGCCTTCAAAATTCATTACAATGTTAAATCCTTATGAACAACTGAACTGGAAATGAGGTTATTACTAATTTAAGGCAAAAATGAGATTCCTGTCTCAAGATCACAACATCATACTCAGTTGAGCATTCAGATTTACATGTAGAATGGTTTTTTTTGTTCCTTTTTAGTTATTTAGTTCTTACAGATATTGCATCTTTTGCAAAAATATTGACTAGTTTTCTATAAACAGCAAAGTGGTTTAAAAAAAAAAATCTTTCTGCCTCTCAAATTGCTATATGTAAAATCAGGGGTATCTTTGCCAGCCTATTTATACCAAATGCCATTAAACAGAACTTAGGAGACAGAGGTATCTCTTACAGACTCAATACATGGTATCATTTGTGGGATTCTGTTCTGAATTTGGAAAGTTTACAGAAAGATGCCTGTTGTTTTGTTACACTTTTTTTTTTTAAATCTTATGAGCAAATTTCACTTGGGCTTATTAAGACCAAGAAGGTGTCCCTTAGATTTCTGAGAACCACATTTCCCAGAACTTGTTCAAGACCAAATATCAAGTCAAGTTCAGAGGCGCAGTGCTGAAAAGTGCGTTTTTTCTACATGCAAACGTTATGCCTTTCTTAGTTGGAGAAAAGCGGAGTTCAAAACCAAATAAATTAATCCTTTTTAAATGTTTGGGTTTTTTTCCCCTGGCAAGGAGCACCAGTCTAATAAACACACAGTGCTTTGTCACCTGTTTTACAGAAGTACAGCTTCAGTGTTTATTTTTCTCAAAAAGGCTGCTAGAGAAGAAAGTTGTGTTTTTTTTTTTTTTAAAGAAATCAGAAAATTGTTTAGATTTTTCTACTCTGTACTGGAAATCTAAGTTTGCTTACAAATGGAGTATCCAGTTAGCCTGCAGAGTAGATATGTAAGGACAGCCACACTGCAAAGCTCTAATTAAAGTCTCAGGATGGCCTCTTAGTTCCACATTTGCATTTCACTATTTCAGAATTTCAGTGTTGGCTTTCTCTGAAAACCTAATGACTGGAAGTCATTAGTCATATGCTGCCTTATTGTTTTCCTTAATTCCTGCCTTAATAGCATGAAACACATTTGATTAAGTTATTCTGCCATTTTCCTGCCAAGTCAGTAGTTTGTTATATGTATGCTTTACACTGCAGTATATAGAGATGAAGGCTATGGAGCACAACATACAGAAAGAATGAGGGTTTTTTTTCTTCCCCAAGTAGCACACAAACTAGAGAAAAGAGTTAAAGGATGAAAGGAAGGAAGGGCAGCTTCATGACTCCATTACTTCTGGACACTTAAAAAAATATATAGGATTTGGTATCATAGAGGAACTCATCTTCAGAATGGCTTCTTTAATATTTCTTGACATTTTTTCCCCTAAATAATACCAGGTCACATGATAGTAGAAGAAATTCTCTAAAATGTTTTCTAATTAAAATTTCAGTACAAAAATTGAAAAGGAAAAAAGAGAACATGCGAAACAGCATGGGATGATAAGAACTGAAATAACAGGAGCTGAGATAGCAGAGGAAATGGAGAAGGAAAGGCGGCTATTTCAGCTACAGATGTGTGAAGTAAGAAACAAGTTTCAGCTTTTAATTATGACACCATAACTTAAAAGTACCTTGTGAGCCTTACTTAAAGGTGGTGAAATCTACTTTGTCGTTTAATGGGGGTGGAGGGAGGAAATGATTTCAGTGTCACATAGTACAGCAATACAAAAATAATTATTTTAGCAACTCTGTACAAAACCTGGCTTCCTTTTGTTTTATTCCTTTTCTTTGTTTTTTAGATTATTATTCTAAGGTTCTTGGGCTGAAAATATACTATGGAAATATTTCTTATTTTTTCAGGTTTATGGTTGAGCAGTTCAGGAAGTATTTTTGATATCTTTCTTCCAACATACTTTCTAAAGCCTTCTAAATTATCTAATAAAGTGATAAATGATAGTGATACATTAGTTCCATAAAAATGCTTTTTGGATTAATAGTTCTCTTTATTACATTTTAGTAGTGATTAGTTTAAATTGCATAGTATTTATATTTTTTAGAATATTTCAGTAATTACTGCAGTAGCATTAAAAAAGGGACATCTTCAGACAATTGGAAAAGACAAAACTTTTTCCTGAATTTGTTTTATGTTTTGGGGTGTTTGAATTTTCTAGGAATGGCCAAATAAATTGTTATTTGTTTCATATTTTGCTTAACTGTGGTGGGTGGGTGGCTTATGAGTCAGCACCCAGGTTAAACACAGAGATAATTCATTGAGCAAATGATGTTTTGTTGATTGAAAACTGTTGAAGGTTGTGAGGCATGATTATCAACACGTTTTTCACTGTCTATACAGTATCTTATTAAGGTTAATGAAATCAAGACAAAAAAAGGTGTGGACCTTCTGCAGAACCTTATTAAGTATTATCATGCACAATGCAAGTAAGTGCAATGCTTTTTAAGCTTTAGTTACAGTTTTCTTTTTTACACAAGTGTTTGTTTCCCTTTGTTTTGAATTTGTTTTGGTTACATCAGGAATTTTTTCCATAATTGTAATCTGCTGGGTGCCTGCAACTTCATCTTATTAGGCTGTGGCCTTTCAGTAGAGAGTATGAAAGTGAGTGAGTGGGGCAGGGGAGTGATGGAGAAAGAGGCCAAGGGAAAAGCCTGCATGTTGTGTACAAAATTAATTTTAATTCCTGAGGCATAGATCTAGAATGTAAGTTTAGAAATAGCTTGTTTATTCTATTTAATGGGTTTTAGTTTTTTATGTAAATTTTAAAACCATTGTGAAAGCCAGTAATTTCTTTGAAACTCCTTGAGGTGAAACTGGTAAGATATGACCTTGTCATCAGTAGAACCACAGAGGCAAATGTACAGGAGCTTTTACTTAAGTTAAATACAGGAAAGAGACTGTAGAAATTACTAAGGGGAAACATGTTGACTAACAGTGATAAAAATAAGCTAAGCTATATTCTCTCTAATTTGATATTTGTTAAAGTCACAATGGTATATCTCCACTGCTGAAAGATATCATACTTTAAAACTACTGGGAAGGTTTTTAAACACCCCCCAAAACCAAACCACCCCCCTCCCCGCTCAAACCAACAAAAACCCAACTTCATAGTGATGAATTTCAATTGATTTCCTTCAGATTTCTAATTTAGAATAAATACTTGAGGATAGAAGTTAAACTTCTGTTTATCTATAACCTAATCCTTCATATGTTGCCACTTATACTAATGTGTGAAGTGCTTATTTGGCTCATTATATTTCTATACAGTGAGACTAAATCCGCAAAGCAAATTAAATGTTTCTGGACCGAAATGCAACTGTCAGACCTTTCTGAAGTATATTACCTAAGGGGAATGTGGAAGCTGTGCTATTGTGTGGTTAGATTGATAGTAAAACAGTACACAGTGGGACAGAGATTTGTTTGTTTGTTTCCGAATGTGGGAGGAGCTGGATAAGTTTTATTGGTTTTGCTGTTTTCCTCCACAAGACAGTCTACTTTGTGTTATGAATTATATGTATTCTTGATAAATCACAGGTATTTTTCATTACAGTTTCTTCCAAGATGGCTTGAAAACAGCTGATAAACTTAAACAATATATTGAAAAGTTGGCTGCTGACTTATATAATGTAAGTTTACTTATAAGTAGTATACTGTCTGAAAATGGAAATATTTTGTTTATATGAATACATTTTAGATATGACTACAAGAGTGTATATTTCATTTGTATCTTATAAATGAAAAGTGTGTTCTTTGAAACTTGGAATATAGCTAGACTGAGGAAAATAAATTTTGACTATCTTAAACTTTGTATTCCTTTTTTACAGTTATTAGGAAAAGCAGCTTTCATTCTACTAATTTAATGCTGGATTAAAATAAAACTAATTTAAAGTGGGAATCTTTGAATCAGATTACGTTATTAGCATCAATTTTAGCTACCACTTTCATTTTTCCATAACAAACTGCTTAATGATATGAATTTGAATGAATTAACTTACGATGTTCATGGAAGGCAAGTAATAATGTGGAATCAAAGCTCACTTGTCACCCAAGTGACTTTGTATTCTATAATAAGAATTACAATAATCCCATTTGCTATTGCAGTTTGTGGCTAAATTAAACTGTGTTTTCATTCCTTAAGTCATCTGTCGAGCTTATTGGAGTTATTTAATATTTCAGAGACTAATTTAGTTGCATTAAATGTAGTGAGCCATTAAAGCCTAACAGAACAGAGCATGCAGAGTTGTACGTTCATTTTAGCTTGCTTTTCAAGTAATACATGCATAGAAGGTGAATACATAAGAATGGACTAGCCCATGAAAATAAACTCAAATATTACAGAAACACAGAATAGTTGAGCTGGTTGTTCAGGACATCTGAAATGGTATATTGGAATGCATAAAAAATTAAAATTAAAGTTGCATCTAGAAAGCATATAATGGCAATCTCTTTCTATAGATAAAGCAGACACAAGATGAAGAAAAGAAACAACTTACTGCTCTTCGTGACTTGATAAAATCTTCTCTGCAGCTTGATCAGAAGGAGGTAAATAATTTAGACATGTTATTCTCGGAGTTAATGTGAGTTTATGAATTCTGTATTCAGAAATTGGTTTAATTGATGTTCAATTTGTGTAGTTACTGGATGTTCAATTTGTGTAGTTACTGGATGTTCAATTTGTGTAGTTACTGGTTCAGAAGAGTTGGACTTTGAACATTGTGACAAAATATTTAATATTTTAAAATATTTTAATATTTAGAATGTCCAGCTATCAACAAACAATAGTTTTAGATTAATTTTCTCTTTCAATTTATATGTTAAAAGAAATTATTCCTTTTTTGTGTAATTTCATATTTTTTTATGTACTTTTTTTAATGTACTATAAGAACAGTTGTAATGGATCAGTTAAATGCTTCATCTAGCCTAGTATCCTATCCTTAACAATGATAAAGAATGAGTGTTCAGGAAAAAATACAAAGGGATGGGATGCACACTTCTTTCTTGTGTCCTGCCATCCTCCAGCCAGACTGTGTTCAGGATTTTCCTGACCTAGGTGATCCTGAGTAAGCCAGAACGAGAACTGGAGGCTTGCCTTTCCGTATGGTTTCCGTATTACTCTTCATGTGCTAACTCACATGGATTTTGTGATGTTGCTCTCCTTCCCAAACCCCTCTTGCTAATACTGTATCATAAGGAAGAAAATTTGTATGTCAACCAGATAGAAGTGACAGAGACAGGGCAGTTAAAAAGAAAAATATATCATCAATTACACTGGTTTCAGAAGTGAAGGGGGAACATGCAATGTCCATTGCAGATGTTCTGGAATACTCCTTGAACTGGGAGGTAGGATATAATATGTATCACAGTGTTTACCTGATTATAATATTGTGATTTTTTCCAAATTATAGTGCCTGAGAATCAGAAATACTGAATATCCCGTGGTGAAGCCGAGTGTTGGGGGTGGTGGTGGGGTGGAGGGGAATGGGGTGGCTTACCTTTAGGGAAAGATTGCTTACCCTCTGTTCAGTTTTCTCTTAGGTAAATAAAACACTAGTATTTGCCAGGTGTCTGCTCAGCTTATTAAATATTTATTATGAAATATGAAGTATTATTATAATTAAACATTAGATGCTATTCTGCTGCATATATATGATCATCCACGTCTATAATTGGGCAGTATTGCTAATATCAAATATACATAAGAATATAATTTACAACCAGATGCACTGAGTCAGCCAATTTCCAACAGCAATCAATCATGGATGTTTAGAGTAAAATGAAGGGCAATAAACACTGATACTTTCCCAGAATACCCTCCCATTAGTAGTTTGACTGTCTCTGTAGTCTCTCTACCACCCTATGGATTTCGTCTCTTTGAATTTGTGCAGTTGCTTTTTGAAGCTGTGTCAGCTTCTGTTACAGCTGTGTCTTTCCCACTGTTGCTACATGTTGTATGGAAAAAATCTTTTTGCTTTTATTTGTTTTGAACTTTTAGATCTGCATACTCTACTCAAGATGGGAATGCTTATGAATTTATGATAGCATCACTAGATCATTTCTAGTGATCATTTCATTCTGATCTTTTTTTTTATGTAAGTCCTAACATTGGCTTGCTTTTTGACCAGTGCTTAGTGCAGAGGAGGTATGTAACGTTTAATCAGCTGTAATGCTATAACCATATGATCCTGTTTCTGAATGTTAATAGTCAACTCACAGTATCTTATTTTTGCCCTCTGCATCGCTTTGCATTTGTTTATGCTGATCTTCACCTGTCATTTATTGTCACTATCACTATCACCTCACTATCGTGAGGTCCTTGAGGAATTCTTCAGTCAGCCTTTCTTGGGTATCCTGAATAATTTAATACCATCTAGTAAATTTTGACAGTTTACTGTTCACAATTTTCCCGATTGTTTTAGTGTTAGACACCACATGTGCTGGCACAGCTTTCTGTGAAACTCATTTGTTTGTTTCCTGCTTTTAACTTGTTAGCTCATCTGAGGACTTTTCCTCGTGTCCTGTAGCAATGTAATTCTTTCCCTTTCATAAGGAACACTAATGTGCCCACTGAAAGTCCAGGTACACTGTATCAGTCTGATTTCTCATGTGTATCTACTTACTGATTCCTTCAGAGAACTCCAGGAGATTTTAGAGACATAACCTTTCTGTACAAAGCTGCACTGATTTTTCCAGTATATAGAATACTAAATGTACTCTTAAAAGTAGTTTTCATTAATCTTCCTTATGTGGTGTGAAGCTTACTAATCTTTACTTTCCTGGAATTCTTCTGGAACTACTTCAAAAATAGGACTTTAGTAACTGGGGCAAGTAAGTATTTTTATGGGCTTTCATGTAATTTTGTAGGTAGCCCATTGTAGTTATGGCTACTGCGTGTAGATAAATGGCTTGAAGTTGATAAATTATTTCAGGTGGATTCACAATTAATAAGGAATGATTGATGAGTCATTCCTTACAGTGTGGTGGGGTTTTTTTCTTTTGAATGCTTGCCTATGTGTGCTTTTGTAATGTAGATGTACATTATATAGCAGATAAACCTTGGCCAGAAGGCTGTTCCTCTTCCTGCATCTTTAATCCCATCGTTCTGAAGGACAACACAACCTTACAACATACTGGACATGGGTTTTAGAATTTCTTTGTTGTCACAAATGATGACAGGAGTGCTACAGAGCACCTTTGAATAGATCCCAATTTATTGTAAGATGTGCCAGCACTTTCTAGTACTCAGTTTTCCCTTATCTCATACTCTACAGTCTTTCCCAGTGCTGTTTGATACCTTTTTTCCTTCCATCTCCAATGTGCGCATGGACCTACCAGCTCTCTTCCATAATACTTACAGAGCTTCCCATACATGCGTTACATTTGTAATCTTCCTAATATCTAAATCCCTCTGAACGTAACTCATGCTTGTTCTCCATCCTCACCCCCAAAAGTTGAATGGAGAACATTAGATTTCAAGAGCTATTTGGAAGTAACTTTAATTTCTAAGGTGCTTTTATGAATTGATTCCCAACACACAAAGGAACTAGACCTGCTCTCTTCTCACGTACCTTTTTCTTCCACAAGCAGATTATCTGGGAAGCAAAGAAAAATACCTCCTTCTCTCCTGGCTGCTGCATATGTTGTTAAGTTCAAGCTACTTGGTAATCAGCCAGTTCTCAGAAATAAAGTAGGACAGATGTGTTGTTCTTCTTCGGTGCTGTGTATTGTACATACATGGCTGCATATAGTACAAGTCAAGTTTCAAAAGTTGTTTAGAGTATTATGAGGTAGAATAACTAAATGAAATAGTGCTTGGTTTTTTTGATTACCTATTTCCTGGATGTGTAGTAAAAATTATTCTGTTTCAGTGGAAAGTAACCTCATTTAAAATATAAAAATTAAACAAGTCAAATTCTGAAACTTAGATACATGTTGTAATAAAGCAGCTTCACAGGCATCACCAAAATAAACTATGCAACTTTTCTGACTTTAATTATAGTGTAGACAAATTCTAGGACACTTGATCAACTGTGTGTGTATACGGATGCTACCTATATAAAAAGTTATAAAGTGTTTGACTTGAAGAGAATTGACATTGTGTCTTAGAAGGAAAAGTGGCAATATTGTGATTGTCAGTTATTCAAGCAAATCATGGGAGAGAGAGATTTGCTGTAATGAAAGAATTGACTGTTTTGGATAAAATAACCATTTGATCACATTGATGTTCAAGTGTCTCTTTCGAACTCAACATGAGGACTTTCACTTGTAATTCTGCTACATTACATGAGTCAGAGCGTAATGATGCTGGCAGATAGTGAGGAGCTTGATAAAACACTGTCTCTGGTATTTAGGTATTCAGTGTTTTAATCCTGAAATAGCATGCCAGCATTCATCACTCCTTAGTTAAGTGACAACGAAACTTGAAGACACATGGCCTGAGTTTCACCAGTCAGCTCTCCATCATTGTGTGTATCTGAATCTTTAAGTACATAAAGCTGGGCTTTACTACTGTGACAAATGGCCTGGTTGGTTGTGATTAAGAATACATTTTCCCCCTTATATTACTGCATTATAATCTCATTGTTGGAAAGTTTATGGGTTACTGGAAATATTGAAGAACGTGACGTGAATGGGATTTTCTCTGGTGGATTTGTAAAGATTCAGAAGTACTCTTACCAAAAATTACTTTGGCAGGGAAACAGTTTGAAATAATAAAATTGAGGCCCTGGTTGTGTGTAGTTTTAAGTTTCTTTGACCCTTTGTGCAAGAGAAGGAAGTTGAAACTAGTGATTCCTCTCCAAATTGTAAATTCTGTCACCTTTAACCTCTTTGGACCTGCCATTAGATAAGTGAGACTTCTACCCATCTCAGACTGACTTGCTGTCACAGATGACAAAAGAGATTCCTGCATGGCTGTTAAATCTATTAAAGCATTTAGGATCTTTTTGAATTTAAAATAATATGTATGGAAAAATTACTCTTCAGCACCCATACTTTCATTCAGGAAAAACCACGAATGTACTAAATGAGCTAACCTCATTCCCTACACTTTCAAGTTCTCATAATGCAACTCTTGTTTTACTGTTGCATGCATTCAAGGTGTTTATTTAACATTATGGACATCTGTAGTGCTCTTACACATTTTGCTGGCATACCTGTCCTTTCATCGGTGAAAAAACTATTACTGTAATATTTGCAATTACCTGATTCTTGGAAAAGCACGTCTTGACAATCTGAGTCTTGGGTTGCGCAGAAGTGCTAGTGCCGTAGCTTCACTACGGGAAGTACAATTTACTGTGGCTCCATTAACATGCAATGTCTCTTGTTGCCACTGTGTACTGTCTTGGTACTAAGTTGTGGCAGTTTCTGTTACTTTGCACAAGAATTATCTGATTTTGTAAAATGACTATGGTTTAAAGCTTTGGGGAAAAATATTTTAAGAGTTACTAGTGTAATTTTACACAGCACCAGGCCTGCTGGTGACAGTTTAAACCAGTTTGAAGGGGGAAGGGGATAAAACCAGGCTCACTAGAGATGAGCCTAGGGGTGGCGTGCCGATGCTGGGGGCGAAATCGATAGCCCAGCTCAAGTGCATCT